ACCAAATTAAACCTTGAACTCCCTGACACGGATATAGGACGAGTGACTTTAATCGTATCTCTGATTAATTTTCAAATTAAAATGTCAAAAATAAAATGGCTTTGATATGCAAAAAAGGGATAATAGAAATTTTCTTTTTTTTTTTGGTTCTCTCTGTTATTCGAACTTCCGGTCGGTCGTCGGATCTACAAGGACGTTTTGTCTCGACGCCATTTCTTTTTCTTCGTTCGATATCACTTTTAGTTTTAACAAATTTTCGTGTGTGCAAAATCAAGCGCAAACCAAACCAAAAAAACTGAAACGGGGCAGGCGCAGGGACGCGATGACAATCGTGCAGGGTTCGCGTCCGAGTGGCCCAAAAATGTCGATAATTCAGTGACCTACATTCTGCAACGGCAAATTCCTATGGTATAACCCGTAATACCTTCGATTACTCACATGTACGACCTTTGACCGTATTCTTTCAAAAAAAACATACCGCAAATACAATACCCCGTAAGAACACGACCGGTGAGATTGTTTAAAAAAAAAATTCCAAACAACGAACATCGATCGTCATCCGATAAAGAGTACTATCGATCCGACCCTTTATTACACGTTTATTAAGCATACCCAGACAACTGGACGATAACCGGAAGTAGGTGACGGCGTCCGAAGCTCCATTAAATTCATTAATTCGTTAATACGGCCAGTCCGGGTGAATCGAGCTGTTAAACGCGAGCAGTATACCAGTGAATATCGAGGACATTGATAGTAGTTAAAACTGCTAGTACTAGGTAGCGGCAACGATGCTATTAAATAGTAGTAGGCGATAGCGTAAGAGAGAAAAAGTAAAATAGATATTAATTGGCTCGACTAACGATTAATTTTCAATAAAGAAAAAAAAAAACAAAAGAAAAACCTAACGAGGTATACAGAGCACGTGAAAACTACTTGTCTGCGGGGAACGTTCCTTGTGATGAAAATCGGACTACTGGTAACCGTGCACGTTTCAATTCCCAATTCCACTAGAGATCAACGATTACGTGTATCAGGCGAATCGATATTCGAGCTTTTGCCGAATGACAGAAACAAAATTTTTTTTCACTCAACGTAAATAGCTGCTAATGTATACACGGTGGCCAAAAGGTAACATTTGGCCCGAAGCACTGCCGATACGAGAGTCAAATGACATTTCCTAAAATAATCGTATTTATTTTTTTTCCTCTATAATTTTCATACGATCTTGCGCACTTGCAAGAGACACGCGATTGGTCGTAAAGCGCAAAGGGAACGCAGGGAAAGAATTTCTGGTGTTCTGTCATTGTCCTCCCGACGGGGGATACGGAAGACGAAGAAGGAGAGAAAATGAAATTGAAGCCCTGCGAGTGACTGCGTTCCATTTGCGAACGATATTGATAATAGAGACGTGACGAGTGGCAATGTATACGTATAGAGACGAACAGAAGAAACGAAAAAAGAGAAAAACGAAAGTACGATTGACGAATTTAAAAAAAAAAATAAAAAAATAAATGTTAATTCACTTAATACGAGTAATAATAATAATGCATAACGTGGGAAGTAGGATCGAAGCGTTTTTCGGTATCCAGCAGAACGATCAATGACGCACACGGAGCGTGACCCGGAGACACTGACAAGTTGGGTTACTTGCGGGAAGTAAGTCTTCTTCAGGCCTGGACTTACCATTCTTTTTTTGGACAACAACTTTGGCTGCGACTAACGAGGCTGAGTATTCCCGAACAACGGAGTTTTGAGTGGTAGTAGGTAGTAGTAGTAGTGGTAGTAGTAGTAGAAGTGGTAGTAGTAGAGGTAGCATAGTGTCGTGCCGAGATAGGAGGAGTCCAAGGCCAGTGTGATTGATACAAATATAATAGAGAAGGAGTACGATAAAAAGACAGTCAGTGCAATTCTTTCGGCTTGACAGAGTGACTGGTGGGTGGGTCAATAAGGGGGGGGGGGATGATCGAAGTATAGAAGTAGAAATACAGGAGGAAATATTGTGGTACGAAAAAATGAATTTTTTTTTTAATCATGGTTTTTGCATTTTTTTTGGAAATTTTGAATTTTTTTTTCTCTCAAATACTATCTAACTGTTCGGGGGAGAGGGCTAATTTCCTGAGCGGGTGATCTACAACTTTTTTTTTGTATTCGTGAAACTGGCTGACCAAGTCCGGGATGATATTTTTTATTTTTCGTTTAGTTTTGAATTTGACAGGTGTACCAACGAAGAAAAAACAGAGTATCGGGAATAGGGGTTGGCTTGCGAATGTATATAACGAAAAGTGGCATAGGTCGAGTAGCATTTTATAGAGAGGAAAGAGAATTTTGAAAAAAAAAAAAGAAGAACCAATGAAAAACATCGACAGGTTATTTTGTATACTGTGTCAAACTATACGTAGGTATTGACACTGTCGATATTTTGGGTGGCGTGACATGCGTGAATTTTCAAAAATTCATATCCAAGATGGTTCGCTGTGTACCTATAGAATTTAGAAAAAAAACTTTGGATTAACGTATCTCGAGCTTGTCGACACAATTGACAAACTCGTGTCGTTGTCAGTGTATGCCATCTTGGACGTGGCTGAGAAAAATAAATTAAATTGGAAGTGGAATAAGAGATATGAAAAAAAAAGTGATTGGCTAATCGAAAATATTACTTTTTGCAAAATTATCAAGATAAGTGTTTGAGAAGTATATGAGAAGAAGAGTAAATAAAGAGAACTTTTTTTTTCTTGACGATAAAGAAGGAATGCTTCGCATTTCGGATAATATTTTGATTCCTTTTCTTTTTTTTTTGGGAAATTTTCTTTTATCTTGAACCGATGTGCGAAGTGTCATGAGGTAGATGGGATATGTACATATACATGGGACTCTATGTATACAGGATGTGACGCATAATCTATAATTCTCTTAAAAGGATAAATTCAAAGTGAAAAAATTTTTTGAAATTTTTTTTTTTATAGAAGCCGAAGAAATTGGTTTTGAAATTTTTTTTTTAATATCTTTCTTCTCGGGTTGGATAATCCCTTCTTTTTAGGAATTTACCCTTTGAAGGTTGAAGGGATGATGCGACACACCCTATAATTACGTGTACGTGTGTATATATATATATATGTAATAAATATATGTATACACAAAAGTTAAGATAAACTCGACACACCGACACTATCTAGAGTATGTATCTAAAAAATAATGATAATCAAAACCCTTAAAAATGTGGAGAATAAGATCGAGTAGCGCTTCTTACCATCTGTCCAGGAAGCCAAAAAGAGAAAAATAATTTTGACGCATTATAGACATGGAAATTGATTGAATGGAGCTTTAAATATTACATATTTTCTTTCTTTCTTGTCTAGAAGCGCCAAGTTTTTTTTCGCTCATAAAAATAAAAAGCATAAAATACTATCAAACTTTGTCGGTCGTAAATATTGAACGAGATGTTTTTGCAAATATATATATATATATATATATATATATATATATATATATATATGTAATAAATATATGTATACACAAAAGTTAAGATAAACTCGACACACCGACACTATCTAGAGTATGTATCTAAAAAATAATGATAATCAAAACCCTTAAAAATGTGGAGAATAAGATCGAGTAGCGCTTCTTACCATCTGTCCAGGAAGCCAAAAAGAGAAAAATAATTTTGACGCATTATAGACATGGAAATTGATTGAATGGAGCTTTAAATATTACATATTTTCTTTCTTTCTTGTCTAGAAGCGCCAAGTTTTTTTTCGCTCATAAAAATAAAAAGCATAAAATACTATCAAACTTTGTCGGTCGTAAATATTGAACGAGATGTTTTTGCAAAATATATATACAGCATATTTCAGAAAAAATATACATAAATACACGACCTATCTGATTGTAAAATTCCAAAATTACAGAGACCTCTGCAAGAAAGTGTACTAAAATTTGATTTTTTTTTTTTTTTTTTCTTTGAAATTTACGTTACACTTTTTTATTTATATTAAAAAGTAAAGGATCTCTTCGGCAGTACTTTGGATAGCTAATTTTAGGTTTCAAAAAAAAAAAAAAAAAAAAAAAAAACTGATCGAAGAGATCGTTTACTTTTAGAGTCTAGATAAGAAATATAAAAATCAGGGTAAATTATCAAAAATATATATAAAAAATGAAAACGGATATTACCTTCCTCCAGTGCGTCGTCTCCGTCGCTCATGAGCTCGTCGTCCGAGCAAATATTCAAAACGTTCACCAGCATCTCCGTGACTGTCGACCATAGACAATGAAAAAAAAAAAAACAATGTATGAAAAAAAAATTTTTTTTTAAATCACGCAGAATCCCGAAGACGAACTCACCCTTCTCGCCGACAAAGGGCAGAGACCACGTGAAAACGTCCATAAAATTGGGCAGCCAGTAGGGATGTGGCGAGCAATTGAATTGCCTGATGTTCATCACGTTGTTCTCATATTTGAGCACAGCCGCCTGAAGGGCATTGAAAGGAGTAAAAAAGAAAATTTTTGCACGAGCTGCGACTTCGAATATCAAGCTGGTTCCAGAGACGGAGAAAAGAGATCTCCGCTTGAGAGAAACGAAAATTCGAAATAGAAAAAAAATTGTGTACGCACCTTGTTGTTGTACACGTCGAGGTAGTTGGGCGCGCTGAAGATAGTGATGAGCGAAGGGAAGCCCGTCGTTTGGGATTTGCGATACATGCGATATCCGGCATCCTGAGCTTCGTGCGCCCTTATGATGCTGAGCAGATTGTTATTCTGAAGGAAGTCGCAGCAGGCTGCGTAACTGCGAAACGGAAGGCTAAATTAAATTGAGAAGCTTTAAAAATACATTGGAAAAAAAAAAGTCCCCAGGCGGGACGCGAACCCATGAATTTATGCTGATTGCACCTACGAGCTTTAAGATCCCGAAGTAATGTTGGGGTCAGCTATGTACAAGATTGGTCCAGCGCAAAAAGCCACGAGTCGAGTCGACCGTAATCGAGAAGCTTTAGCCATTTCTCATAATTTACGTGGCTTTAGTGGTGGCAATTCCGTAATGGCCGCTCGCCGTTGTAAAAGAAACTTCATTCTCGCAAAGAGCCAGTGTCGTAAACGACTCGACGGAATTTCATGTTTTATTTTCGCGCAACCGTAAACGACCTCGACAGCCATGACTTTCTAGACACCCTTTATACGTCGCTTTTAATTAATCCGTAAAGCGCCACAGACACTTAATTTTTCTTCGTATGATCGATCGAGCTTCCTTTAAAATTAATTAAAAAACAACAATTAAATATCAATCCTACGTAAAATATTTGATCTGTCGAAACCCTAATAATTTTATATCTCCGTATATGTTTTCGCGTGGGACTACCAATAGGATTGCCTTATGTCAGCTATATATAACGATCGATACCTCTGTAACGGCCCTATAGCAAAGCCAGTAATGATTTATCGGGTGGGATTATGAGTTATAAAAAATCGCCCAAGCCCTTATCATTTAGGAAAGATAAAATTATCCCGTTACTCTTTAAATGTCTGATATTTGAAGCATCGAGAGCGATTAGACAATACTGAGTCTAAAAATAGTATGAAAAGAAAAAAACAAGTATACACGAACCGACTATTATCAAAGCATGAGATTTTATGAATTGTTTCTCTGTTTGTTTATTTCTATATAAATACACGTATTATCTATCTTCTGTCAATAATCAGTATCGAACTATATGATCCTATTATCGACGATCTATCACCCACCGATACGTAACTACCAACTTCCGCGTCTAGGTATAGTCTCATCGCTCTAACACCATACACTACAATGTCCATACAGTGCCTTCATCATAAATTTCAAACAATCTTCGTACTGCGCTTCTATTATTGAAACATGCATTACGAATGGGCTACGCGTACAAAACTGAAATAGAGAAATAGTATGTAGGCGCGTTAGCTCCGGCACGTAAATATAAATGATTGCCGTCATCCCGATGACTCGTATGCTTACGCACGCGTTACTGACCCACTCAACATACGTCAGAGGTATTAGCGTAGCCAGTCAAATTCTACGAGTCTCATTCAAGATCCTTTGAAAGATAGTGGACAGAGATACCTTGGCAATGTTTTTCCTTGAAAATATGCCAATCAAAGAATTAGGATCCAAAAAGCGATAAAAAAACGTATTAGCCAATAAAATTATCACCATAAAAAATATTAAATATCGTTCCACTGGGTATATTAGTTTTCGCCGAGAACAGCGCCACGAGTCTGAGCGGTTGATTCTGGTACTAATAATCATGGCGCCACGCACGACGCTCTATCTGCCACTTTAACCATATGGACGAGGGTAGATTCGTGTCTTATCACGAACACGAAGTTACTTCGCAGTTTGCAATAGCAAACGGAATAAATCTTGGTTCGCTCGTTATTCTCGTTAATAAGACTGGGACGTAAAACACGTATATTAATTCCAATCTCCAAGCTACGCATAAAGATAAACATATGCGAGTAATGTGAAACAAGAGAAAAAAAGAAATGCTGATCCACGATTATGTATGACTCCCATTGGATGAATTGCGTTTTACCGCTTTCCGCAGTGAGTTACCAATAAAATCTTATGTTTGGCTAGTAAATTATACGTTCGTAGATGGGGAAAGGTTAACGAGATATCGAGAAAGTCAAAACTCCAATGCCATTTAGTTGGGTGCCATTGCGGCTAGACTACGTTAAGCTAGATAAAAAAACTTAACCATTATTAACAATCCTCACGGTAGATTCCACACGAGTTGCGGGGAATATGGCACAGAGAGGACTAGGGTCTTCAGACAATAACATTACCTAGGACTTATCCTTTAAAGAATTCCAGAGAAAGAAATGACGAGCATAAACAAAGATACTTTGTAGCCTATATAAGTACGTACTGTATTATACATATATATACCGACCCTTTTCTACCTGAGCGCACGGAATTGCTGGGCTTCTTATCCTCGCGAGTGAGACAGGCAGATAGGTAAAAAAAAAAAACAAGGAAAGAAGAAAAATGGCTTCCAACTTATTATTATACAGGGAGTCTTTTTTTCAGAGACTTTCAAAAATACTCTTGGTAATATATATTCTACGGGTCGATAACAACGTGCGCTATTCGCAGTGTATCTGCATCTTAAGGTAAATTTATTCTTTTTGTACCGAGTAACAAAGCTGCGTTTCAGATTGTCAATGTACATATGTTCACGTTTACGTCTCAGTCACTCGCTCCTGGTAAAAATGTCGTTTTGTCGTTTTTATCCTGCAAAGAATCTGCTCCTTTTTTTCTTTATCTTTACTCGTGCTCCTTTCTCTTGCAGAATCTCTCGCTGAAGCTTGTCCCTGATATCATAAGGGCATTACCAGCACCTGTGGCCCCGCTCATACACATGGCTGATCGTGAGTTAGGTCCACACGCAGATATATACGTATCTGGCATCCCGAGAGCTCCTGGAAACGCTATGGGAATTCCATGGTGCTCGGTGATAGTGCTGGGATCAGATTCGTACGTGCGTGTCCTGTCCGAATTTTTGTTACTTTTCGTAATTAATGATACAACCAGCGAGGTCTCTGTGCTAAAAATTTTTCTTTCTCTTTCTCTTTCACTTTTTCCTCGGTTTTCTCTTCCATCCCATTCTCGCTCGTCACGCGGACATCGCTTTGTCTTACTCTGGTGGGACGCGGTACCGGCTTCGGGTAAGTAGATCCCCGTGTAGTAGTTACCCGAGAGACAAGGAGCAACGAGGAGGGAAGAGAGGAGAAAAACGAAGAAGAGTGTGGGCGAATAAGAGAAGGAAGTTCAGAGCCAGACCTGGAGAAAAGGGCTCCAGGGGACGTGGATGGTTGCGAGGGTGTATATTTGCCGTTCCACCCTGCCCCCCTCACTTGCTCCTTTCAGTTTGTAATTTTTCAATATTCCTCAGCATTTTTTTACTCGACTTTCGTACACGAACTTTAATTAGCTCGTTTGCCCTTGAGCCGGCCATACCCTATTTTTTTATTGATTTGTCAATATTTAACAATTCCACATTTTTCATCTCTCTCACTCCTCAATAAAACAGGTCACGCGCAGCACTTGCCTGTAAAAGTACGAACAGCCCCTGACACTGTTGTGGGAGAAGTGTTCTGCATTCTTCTCGTTGCCGAAGTCTTCTAAAGGGTCCGACCACAAAAGGTCACACATGGGCCCAAACGCCGGCGGCTCTTTGAACCTGTCCAACTGAAACAGAAAAACGAAATTTCGTCTGATTGAGGATAGCAGTGACGCAATAAATGATCGTCTAGAAACAGTGCGAACGCACCTTGACGTAGGTCGGACAAAAACTCAATGAAAATCAAGATAAGCATTTTCAAATATCACTTTCGTGACTAAGACGATCGAGAAGCAAACACAGCATGGCAAATGGGCGCGTTTACAACGTAACAAGTAGTTAGCGTATGTCGATGACGGACGCGGTATCAAGAACCGGAACACATATGCAGAACATATGTGCCACACTAGTGGGCTCTGGGATGAGACTATTATTAGAGACTGTGAGACACATGGGATCCTCTCACGTATCGCGCCGAGTCCGTGTCCTGTGTAAAGTTAATATTTTTATCATTTTTTGAAAATTGATAATTCGACGAAAAAAAAAAAAAAAAAAAAAAAAAAAATTTAACAAAATTAACGATGCCTTCTCATTCGAATTGGATATTCTCGAAGATATATTCTCGATCTCGATACTCGTAATCGATGATTCCTGATCGATTCGATTGATCTGTATTGACTGGCTGGTTACGCTGTCGCTGTGTATGAAAACGTCGAAATTATTTTTCTTTCTTTGCCAGGCAGACTTCTTTTTTTTTTTTTTTTTATACCAATCCATGGAAACGCGCTCGAAATCCATGGACCCCCCACTCCTCTATTCTTGATTAAATAAACTTACGGATAATTTTAGACGGTTTATTTGATCGGTCTAATGATCGCGATGATCATTATTCTCGGTATTCGCCAGCCGAGTGCCAGGGCAGCCAAACTGACGACGATTACGAGTCACGTGGACGTATGAGAGGACACGGGAGTGGGTTTACGGATCGGAAGAGGTTAATGGCCGCTGTGCTAAGTTTGACTTTGAATAGATTTTGAGATTGGATAAGAACGGGGTCAGGAGGGGATGGGGGGGATTTTGAAAATTTTATTAATACATTTTTTAAATCATACTCTTAACGGTACTTTAAATTTTGCATAATTTCTATTAACGAACTAACTAACTGAACACCCTGTATAACTGAATTCGCGACATTAGTGGTTTCAAACGATGTGCTCGTTGTTGTTCCCTTGTCTGGTTGACGATACCAAAATCTGTCTTCAGCTATCTCCGAGTTTAATTTCGTTATGAAGTCGAAGGTGGAAGTTTCTACCAGTTAATTAAATCCGTATGTGATAGGGACCTGTAGAAGGGGGTACAGGACGTACCTACTGAAAAGAATGGTACGTACAGGGTGTCTCAAAAAAAATTATTCACATTAATTATAATCCATATAATCAATTTTGCCTTATTTAATTTATCATGCGTGAAATAATGCATGGAATTAGAATGCGAATAAAAGTTTTATAAGAATATTCAAAGTCACCGGGTATAACGCTGCTGACGAATGTCCGAATTCTACGCCATCTTAAGATTACATTTTAAGATGCGACGTGTGGAAAATGGCAATCCGATTTTTTTTTTTAAGGACAAAAGGCCAGTCCCTACATATATATATATATATATATACACTGGGGAAGAAAAGCTAAGATAAAAAGACGCGAGAGAGAAGAAAAAAAGAATAACAAGTTGTCTCGTGACTGGAGAAAATTTTTTAAGGACAAAAGGCCAGTCCCTACATATATATATATATATATACACTGGGGAAGAAAAGCTAAGATAAAAAGACGCGAGAGAGAAGAAAAAAAGAATAACAAGTTGTCTCGTGACTGGAGAAAATGTAATTTAACAAGGCATCCGGCTCATTTCCCTAATGTAAAGTTTCCGTTAAGTTGGCTGACGTTGCATTATCTTTTGGATTACACCGAAACGTATAAGCTTTTCTTATTTATCTCCTGTCTTCAAGATTTTACGCTCAAGGGAGCCCAAGAGATTGTCTGTACGTACGCACGAGTTAGCATGGGAATGCCGCATGGGCTTTTTGCACGCCGAATAACTAAATGCACGAGCGACACGTTACGAGCGGTCTTTTATTCAAAAAATAATATTTTTTTCACGAAATAGATACAGCATCTCGGTTGAAAATGAAGAGGATGCTGTGATCAGCCGACAGATCGATTCTTGAACGATCGAATTAATTAAGTTACGCAACCCTTTGGCAACGTGAGTGGAAACAAAAATTTTTTCAAATTATAAACCCAATTGCGTCATTAATTTTGAAAAATGCAAAATAAAATTTTTTAATCCAAGTCAAGGACCCTGTGTGTCCTCGTTAAGGGTGCGACCACACGGTGGACATAGGAAATCAGAAGCAGTGCTGCCAACGTGAACGGTACCGAGGAGAAAAGTAAAGATAAAAATAAAGCAGCCGAGATAAGAGGAAGAATAATGCAAACTCCCCGACTCGTGAAGGAACTTAATATTCCTTAAGGTCGCCTCGGTCGGGCGTAGGAAAGAAAAAAGAAAAAAAAAAATCAAACTTCATACCATCAAGAACACTCGATAAGCCCTCAAACGGTATCGGCAGAAGATGCTGCAAAATCTCCATCAAAGACACTATAGGAATCGAAGATCAAAAGATTTATCATACACCCAAGGATCACGGGGTATCAGCCGCCGGAGGTCCCTATCGTGTCTACGCCCCTGAAGGAAAACTCAGCTCCTCGAGGGACGCACC